ACCTTCTGCATACAGATGATGATTGAAACCCATAGGAGCTGGTGAGATCTAAGAGCACTTGGTTTGCTTATTTTTTCCTTACATTCATGACAGCTGGAAGAGAAGCAAGATGTTTACATAGGAGCCTCCTCTCCAGGAAACCTCACATCCCTCTGAGGGACACCTGGCTTCTCTACCTCTGAGTGCACCTGGATGGAAGGTGCAGTTGCATATGGCAAAATCTCTTACCTGCATTCAGGAAAGTGCTCAAAGACATTCCTGGGAAGGTATAGGTTAGAGCAGATGGCCACTGGGGTTCCTTCCATCTCTGAGATTGTGGGATGCTAGGATCCTGGGAGTAGCCTGATTTGTCTGGACTCCAGCCCACTTAATCAAGCCCCTGATTAATGGTGGTAGATTGGACTTCTCCTTCCCCCCATCCTCGTCCCCTCCCCCTAAGCAGTGAGGCAGGAGAACTGGGACAGGAACACCAAGCTTCTTTATTCTTACTTGTTTATGCTGGAATCCTGGCTGCTGATTACTCATTTCCTGTTTGCTGTTGAAAGGGCACAGGGATCCAGCCCTCCTCCTTCCCCATCCCCCACCAGACTAGAGACCAACCATGGGGCTGAGGTAGGGCTGTTGGGACAAATAGATGGAGCACCTTCAAGTTCTTGCTCATTTTCTGGCTTGGAGAGATTTTTTTTTTTAAATCTCTTTTGATATTTCAATGTACCTGTGATCACATCAATGGGAACAGTTTCCTCCATCAGTGCAGATTGGGTCCTAGGAATGCCATCTCATCCTGTGTGACTTATCCACATCCTCCTAGAGAATCATGGTAGCCAGCATTTATGAAGTGCCTACTATGCGCTTTATAGATATTATCTCATTTCAACCTCACAACAACCCCAGGACTTAGGTGCTATTGTTATCCCCATCTCAGGAAACTGAGGCAAATAGAGGCTAAGTGGCTTGCCCAGGGGCACACAGCTAGTATCTGAGGTCTTCTTGACTGCAAGCCCTGTGCTCTATCCACTGCACCACCCAGCTGTCTCACAGTAGCACAGATTGTAGAACCAGAAACTAACTCAGAGGTCAAATAGTTCAATCCCACTCCCCCCATTTTACAGATGAGAAAGTGGAGCCCCAAGGAAGGAGCCCCAAATAACTTGTCCAAAGTCCCACAGGCAGGAAGAGACATAGGGATGCAACTACAGTACCGTGGAAAGAACACCAGCTCTGAGTCAGATGACCTGGGTTCAAATCTTACCACTGATATTTATCCTTATCCAAGTCATTCAGCCTCCCTAAGCCTGTTTCCTCATTTATAAAATGAGAGGGGATGAACAAAATTATCTCTAAATTTTCTTCCAGTTTTAAATCTACGACCCTAGGATTAATGGATGGCCTCTGAGGTCCCTTCACGTTCTAGATCTAGGCCAAATTTTTTATGGGGGTGGGGTTCACCCAATTGATTGGAGTCCTTCTTCAAGACCTCATGACAGGTTGAACAGGCTTCATAGCTATCCAGGGATCACATAACCTGTTCACTCTTTCTACATGTCTGGCCTTCTACTTATATGTCTTCAGTTATATCAGTATATATCTTCCAGTTACATATCCTCAGAGCAGTGGGCAGAACGTTGAATTTTGGCTCAGAAGACCCTGGCTCAAATCCTGACTCTGAGACTTAAGATTTTCACACAGTCTTGGATGGGTGACAACCTCTCTGGGCCCTGCATCCTCACCTGCAAATTGAGCAACTGGGCTAGACAACCACTAACATTCCTTCTAGCTAGCTCTAGACTAGCTAGCTTCTGGGTCAGTCTCTCCAATCACATTGGCTCACCTCTGATTCTTATTATACTCATATAGCGATGATCACACAAACTCAGAATGAGGAAGGGCTTTGGAGGGCATCTAGTCCAAGTTATTCCTGCGCAGCAATCCCCTCCGCAAAATCCTTGACTAATTGAAGACCTCTGGTGTTCGGGGACTCGCTCCTCCCAAAATAATCTATTTCACTTTAGGACAGCTCTCAGTTTTTCTCCCTTTTCAGACCTAACCTTAAATCTCCCCCCTACAACTTTGGTTCACTGCTCCTCACTCTGCCCTCTGGCATCAAGGAGAATGAGTCTGACCCTTCTTCCAAGGAGACTGAATCTGACCCTTCTTCCAAGGAGACTGAGTCTGACCCTTCTTCCAAGGGGACAGCCTTTTGAATACTTGAAGAAAGCTATCAGAACTACCCCCATTCCCTTCATCTTTCCTTCTCTGGGCTAAAGATTCCTAATTCTTTCAGCTGATCTTTGTATGGTACAGTCTCTAGTCTCCTCCTAATTTGTGACCCCCCCAAGTAATTATAGAGTGCCTAAATTCTAGGTTAATTACACTCAACCTTGTATTAGAGCTCCCTGGGTGAATGTCTTATTCCTCTCACATTAGAATTTGAGCTATTTGAAGGCAGGACCTAGATTTCATTCATTTTGAATCATACTTGACATTTATACCGTAGTTTCTAGTTAGCAAAGGACAGTACATCATTTGGTCCTGCAAGGAAGGTGCTACAGTTATTATTATTATTGTTGTCATTATTGTATTGCTGTTGCGGGTGCTGGTGGTGGTGGTGGTGGTGTTTCTATTTTACAGATCAGATCACTGGGGCTTATAAAGGACATGGGACTTGCTCTGGGACCCTGAGCTGGTAAGTTTCAAAGGTGGGATTCCACCTATCTCCAGGTAAAGCAGCCACTTCACTGGGGGTTCTTCACTTTCTGTGTGTCAGTTACAGACCTTTCCTTTGCCAGTCAGTCTGGTGAAGCCTAAGAACCCCTTCTCAGAAGAATGTTTTTGGGGCAGCCAGGTGGTACAGTGGATAGAGCACCGGCCTTGAAGTCAGGAGGACTTCAGTTCAAATCCGGCCTCAGACCAAACTTACTAGCTGTGTGACCCTGGGCAAGTCACTTAACCCCAATTGCCTCAAAAAACAAACAAACAGAAGAATATTTTTAAATGCACAAATAAAATACATGAGATTTACAAAGGAAACCCATTATACCAAATGAATTATCAAAGCATTAAAAAGAAAAGTTCATGAACTCCTAGTTAAGAACCTCTGTATTCTACCAGTCAAGCAAAAATCATTTATTAAGCACGTGCCAGGCACTGTGCTTATACTATAAAGGCAAAACCACCAGCCCCGTCCTCAAAGAATTTACATTCTAATGGGAAAGAGGCAATATATGAATAATCTGGTATATGAAAGCTATAGGAAGAACAGATAGGAAGGGACCAATAATTGTGTAGAGTCCAGAAGGCCTCTTGCAGAAGGTGGGATCAGAGCTGAGGCTTGAAGGAAGCCAGGGGCACTCAAGGGCCTGGGATGCTTTCTCTCCTTCCTCACCTCTGGCTCTGTTTCCTTGACTCACTTCAATACTCAGCATGAATCCCACCTTCCAGGGGAGGCCTTTCCCTGTTCCACCCCCGCCCCCAGCCTTCCTTTTACCTGCTCTGCATGGATCATATATGTACTTATCTACATACATGTTCTCTCCCCCATTAGAATCTAAACTCTTTAAGGGTGGGGACTGGTTTTTGTTTTGTTTTGTTTTTTTCTCTGTGTCTCCAGCCTTTAGCATAATGACTGGCACATAGTTAGGGCTTGTGCAAAACCCTTTTAATTTTATGTAGTCAGAACTATCCATTTTACCTGCTGGAAACCTCTCTGTCTCTTGTTTGGTCATGAACTCCTCCCCTATCCATAGATCTGACTGGTAACTTTTTCCATGCTCCACCAATTCACTTATGATATCACCCTTTCTATCTGTATCACTTACCCATTTTGAGCTTATCTTGAGGTACAGTGTGCCATGTTGGCCTGTCTCTAGTTTCTGTCAGACTACTTTCCAGTCTTCCCAACAGCTTGTGGAATAGTTCTTGCTCCAATCATTGGGATCTTTGGGTTTATCCAAGTATCAAAATACCAGGTTATTCTAGACTGGGCTTAAGACATGCTTCCTGTTTGCTCCTAATGCAGTCCTCTGCAATTACCTAGGGGAGCCAGGAGGCAGAGGTGAGAAGAGAGAACATTTCTAGGAACGGAGATCAGCTTGTGCAAAGAAAGAAAGATGGACTATAGTGGCTAGCATAGCTAGACATGGCATTCCTAGAGGAGAAGAAAATATATGAAGACTGGAAAGGTCATGAGAGGACAGACAGCTGTAAATGCCAAACAGACGACTTCATATTTGATCCTGGAGATACCTAGCAATAAGGCCTTGCACATAGTAGGTGGCCAATAAATGCTTAATTGAAGTGACTAGAAACTAAGCTTGGTTGTCCTATTAGCTAGTTGTGGGTTACTTCCTTTTCCCGAGTCTCAGTTTCTCCCTCTGTAAAATGGACCAGATGGTTTCTAAGGTCCCTTCTAGCTCCAGAGCCCTATGAGTATTCTATACTCCCAGACTTCTTGTCTTTCCCATTAGATGCTGCCAGATGCCAGGGTGGAATGCTCAGGCCCAGACCTATCCCTCAGAAGTCTGGCCTCTGACCAGAGCATTCAGGGTCTCAGAGCCACTGTCCAGAGGGGCAAACAACATTGCTCCCTTCCCCCACCCTATCCCTACACTTGCTGAACTTCCCAGGGAATATGGTGGACTCAAAGGCCTCTGGGATCCTTTCCAGCCCTAGAACTATGCTCCTATTATCCCACTGACTTTGGAGAGGGTCGGACCATGCCAGACATGGGGGAGTACATAGCTGCTAGGAGGGCACCATCACTTAGCCAGACATGGGTGGGGATTCCTTAGCCAGGTGTGGGTGGTGCTTCTTCTTCCCTGAGAGGAGGAGGAGGAACAGGGCGTGTGTCACCCTGACTCCTTTGGGCACTGGTCATTGTTCTAGGACTGCCTCTCACCAGTGTGAGAGAGAGAGTGAAGCTGGGGCCTGTTCCCTGGAGCCTTCCCTGTGCTTTGTGGACAGAGCAAACCCTATGTTGTTGGCCCTCCAGACCTCAGAAGATGGAAGATGGGGCTCAGACCAACCCCAAAGAGTTCAGGAAGAAGGGGCTGGTTAGACCCCTGTCCTGGAAGACATCAGTGGAGCAGACTGGGATGCTCTTCCCCTGGGCCACCTCTTTCTGGAAGGCCACCAAGTAAGTGCCAGGCCCTTAGGGGAGAGAAGAAGATCCAATCTTATGGGCATCCTTAGGGAAGTAGGGTGGGATTTTTCTAAATATTAGTGTTTTTCAGAGAAGGGAGATCTGGTTTCCCAAATCCTAGTCTGAGAAATTCCCTAGACTCATAGAAATGTTTAGAGATTGTCTAATCTAATACTGCTCTCACCATTCTGATTTTATGGATGGGAAAACCAAGCCTCTGAAAGGCTAAGGTCAAGGTTAAGGGTCAAAGATCAAGGCCATAGCAGAGCTGGTCTCCTGACCCCTATCATATTAAGTCCCACACTCAGTGTCCCCAGATTTGGAGTAAGAATCCTTAGGCTCCGCTCCTTTATAGTTGTATGACCTTGGCCAAGTCCTTTGCCACTTGAGGAGAAGGGACAAATCTGGGCCTCAATTTCCTCTATTGCAACATGAAGGGCTTGGACTGAAATACCCCTACGTGTCCATTCCAACTTTGAATGCTATAGTTTTCCTCCTCATGTTTGGCCTCCTCTCCATTTCTCCATGGGCCACCGTCCTCCAATCATTGCTCTGATGGCTTACTCTTTGAGTTCTTATGGATCCTTGGCTGGGGCCTCCCTCCCCTCAATAGCAAGGCCAGTAATGGATCCCTTCTGCCTCGAAGCAGGGGGACAGTGAAGGAGTTAGGGTGTTTGCCACCTTCTTCCTGCAGCCAGGTGTTAAAAACAGATATTGGTGTGGACTGAGGGGAGGGGAGCGGAGCTGGGGCAGCCGCATCATCTAACACGTGTTTATGGGAACGTGAAGCCAGGGCTCCACAGGTTGTAGCAGGCCCGGGTATGTGGCATGAAGGGAACTTGATGAGGGATGTTGGTTTCTCTGTCTTGCAGGTCCATCCCAGGCATCAGGAAGTTGTTCACAATCACCATTCTAGCAGGCAGCGGTGAGTAAGGGCTCATTCCTGGGGTCTCCTAGACTTCTCTGGTTTGTCCTCAAGTGACCTCTTGTCATCTGTGGGTACTGTGCCCAGTCCAGCTTCCTCCTTCTTGTTTAACCCCAGGCTGCCCATGTACAAACACCGGGAACCCGTCACCTGGCATTTATGAGGCCTGAGCCTGCTAGGGCCCCAGAGTTAAGCAAGCCTCATTAAAAGGTGATGTTTATGGTGCGTCTCCTGTCCCTGTGCACTCCCTGGCTACCCTTAAGTTGCTGGGGAGCAAGTAATGGCCCCAGCAGAGCTTGGGGAGGGGTTGGAGGCAGAGCAGGGGAAGCTTCTGAGGAAGGGGGAGAGGAAGGTAAGTGACATGCCCAAAGTCACTGTAGCAGAAGAACTTAGTGTCCTCTCTGAGGAGCAGGTGGTTGTATGAGGAGGATGTGCCCAACTGGAGGAGCTGGCCACGGGCCTTGGGACTGGGTAGGGAGGAGCAGTACAGTACATTGGGAAAGAGTACTGCCTTCAAAATCAGAGGGCCCAGGTTCAGATCCTGGCTCTGCTACTCACTAACTTAACCTCTCTAGACCTCAGTTTCCTCATCTGTAAACTGAGCTGGAGAAGGAAGTGGAGAACCACTCTAATATCTCTGCCAAGAAAACCCCAAATGGGGTCACAAAAAGTCAGATATGACTGAACAACAACAATAGTAGTAAGTAATTGAGACTGGATTTGAACCCAGGTCCTCTGACTACAGAGCAAATGCTTTCCACTAATACTATGCCGCTTCCTGCATTACTGAGATGCAGTGAATACTTGTGTGGACTTGCATGTGTGCATATGTGTACATATGAGTACGTGTGTGTGTGTGTGTATGTGTGTGTAAATTGTCCTCTGTTCACAAGCACGATTGAGTGTGTAATCTCTTCGGCATATTTAAGCTGATGTCCACTATATTAAATTCAGTGGAAAGGGAATTGACATCAGGAGATGAGAAGCTATGTAACATACTAGAATGAACATTGTGTTTTGTTTTGTTTTTTTAACCAATAATGATGCTAGAGAATGATAAGGAAGCAAACTTCAGTTTCCTCCTTTGAGAGGTGGGGGCCTGCTTGACAGAACTTTATATACATCATCAGAGGCAGTCATTGTATTAATTTTTTTCCTTAAGCGGTTTTCTTTGTTATAAAGGAGGTGTCAGGGCAGCTAGGTGGTGCAGTGGATAGAGCACCAGCCCTGAAGTTAATGCGGACTCAGACCAAACATTTGACACTTACTTGCTGTGTGACCCTGGGCAAGTCACTTAACCCCAATTGCCTAAAAATAATAATAAAAAAATAAATATAAGGGAGGTGTCAGTTCCTGGGAGGAGGGTAGAATGGGCATATTCGATTATTTGTTTATTTATTTGTTTATTTTGGCGAGGCATTTGGGGTTAAGCCCAGGGTCGCACAGCTAGTAAGTGTTATGTGTCTGAGGCTGGATTTGAACTCAGGTCCTCCTGACTTTAGGGCTGGAGCTCTATCTACTACACTACCTAGCTGCCCCTAGATTTTTTTTTTTCTGAAGAAAAAAAGAAAGTATTAGTCTTGGCTGAGAAGATTTGAGTTTGGGTCCTGATTTTATTATTTTAAAGGTACTTAATTTCTTAGGGACTCAGTTTCCTCATATGTATCACTGAGGAGGGGAAGTACAAGCTGTAAATACTATAGGCCTTTAGGTCTGACTCCTGGTTCCTTTGTTTACCTCTCAAGGCCCCAGTTCCTTCCTTTGTAAGTGAGGAGGTCGGACAAGGTGAGAGTTCTAAGTTTCCTTCCAGCCCTGAGAATACATGATTCCAAAGTTTGCTGTTGTCGTTCAGTGGTTTTTCAGTCGTGTCTGACTCTCCGTGACCCCATTTGGGGTTTTCTTGGCAGAGATACTGGAGTGGTTTGCCATTTCCTTCTCCAGCTCATTTTACAGATGAGGAAACTGAGGCAAGCAGGGTGAAGTGACTTGCCCAGAGTCATGAAGCTAGTAAGTGTCTGAGTCTGGATTTGAACTTAGATCTTCCTTCCTCCAGGCCCGGAGCTCTACCCACTGAGCCACCTAGCCTGCTTGGTAAGTGCTGGCTATTCAAAGAAAGGCAAAAGGCAGGATCCATGAAATCATAGATGAAGAGATAGAAGAGACCTTCATCAGGTCCAGTGCCCTCATTTTACAGATGAGAAAACTGAGGCCCAGAGAAGTGATTTGCCTGTAGTCACATAGGTAGTATGTGGCCAAGCTGGGATTTAAAACCAGCTTTGACTACAAGTCCTTTGCTTTCTCTGTGGCATCACCAGCGTCCCTCAAGGGTTTGTTCAAGTATAGGATGCGCAATCTGGCCTGTGAGGCTCTTTCCAACACTGAGAATTTGTGATTCTATGGATATGGTCAAGAACTAAGAGATCCCCAGTGTCACCCACTTACCAAAGCTTTGGTCCAAAGAAACAAACAGAATCAGTTTCCCTTTTAACCGAAGGTTTGTCCAAAGTACAAACAGAATGGGGTTCACCTTACCAAAGATGTGAACAAGGAGCAAACAGAATCAGGCTTTACATTTGCTTATTTATTTACGTGTTTATTTATTCTCATTAAGCCAGAGAATCATGCATGATGGAGTCAGAGACCCTTTATATACTTAGAATCAAGTCAGGATGCCTGTATCAACCAAAATGATAGTCTCCACATGTGTTAACTATAATATGAGAAAGGAATTTCTTAGTGGAATAGGTTGTAAATGCAATAAGACAAGAGAATGTCAAAGTGTCGATTGAAATTATAGATCCAGGATGTCTGTATTTCTTTTACCATTAACGTGACATAATATAACAATTATTCAAGATAGTGTCTGGCTCAAGGCGCCTTGTCCTTGGTGGTCATAAACAGAAGAATGTTCCTGGTCAGCTCCATCTGGCCTTGGGGTTGCTGACACGGGAAGGGGCATTTTGGGTTCACTCAGAGAGCAAAGCAAAGCATTATGGTAGGCTAAGCTCAGAGTGGGCCAAAATGTCTTTCTCCTGATTGACCAATCCAGGTTTTAGGCCTTTCTCAGGTGATGGGGGTGGGGTGAGGCAAATGGTTTTACACCAGGAATAGATACTTAAGGAGTTAAAGGTTAAGAATGCAGAAGTCCAGAAGCAAGAAGACTTTATTAACTGAGCCGAAACTTTGTCCCAGCCAGCTTTGCCTTCTCTTAGAGAACGAGTCAATCTCAGGGCCTGGGTAGCAGAATCTGTAGGGAAGGAAAGGTACATGGGTCCAGCTTGCTGGGTAGTTCCATTCCAGTGCAAACCCAAGACAGTATTTTATGAGACCCTTCTCCATAGCCTTTAGTGCTGAGCCTTGCACATGGCAGTACTTAATAAAAATCTATTGAGTTGATTTTGGAAAGGGGAAGGAATGCAGAGAAAGCCAGGTCCTGACAGGCTACCCTTCCCCTTGTCTTTTCGAAGAGTGATAAAGTGCTTTTGAGCTTAGAAAATAACACCATCATTAAGAACCTAGGCATTGGGATCCCGGGAGAATGGGAAGAAGAGAGAGAAATGGGAAATCTTTCCTTTCAGAAGAAAATTGGAACAGGTTAGAGTAGAAGCTTCCAAGGTAGCTAGTGAGGGAAACTTAGTCCTAAATGAGAGAGAATACATACTTCTCAGGAAACAGTCAATCAATCAGCGAGCATTAACTTGGGCTTCTCAATGGGGGCATGCTAACTACGGGATTTCCTAATAACTTGTAGGCCAGACCAAGGTCATTCTGCTTCTGTGCTGGAGAATGCGGTTTGGAGAAGTGAGCCTCTGAATTTTTGGTTGCGAATGCCCAGTAGTTAAAAAAATTTTGAACACGCATCTCTATTACAGTATATTTACTTATTTATGAATTATATAATCATATACTTGTATGAATAATAATGAATAGTATAAATCCCAAAACAGAAATTTTAAAAGGTTAAAGTAAAGATGAAATAATATAATAATAATGATAACTGACATTTACACAGTATAATGTGCCAGGTACTTTACAATTATTATCTTATTTGATCCTCACAACAACCCTGGGGGACAGGGTTTATTGTCCCTATTTTACAGATGGGGAATCTGAGGTTGACAGGGTCTACGTGACTTGCTAAGAGTCAAGAGTATGAAGCTAGATTCGAACTCTGGTCCTCCTGACTCCAGGCCCAATGTTCTATCCATTGTGCCAGTATTTGATCCCTTGGTCAACAAGAGTTGACTAGAGTTTATTAGAGTCAAAGGATGTCAACAAACATGATTTAAACACTGATTATATGCCAGGCACTGTGCCCACCACTGGAGATGCAAATAGAAGCAAAAAGAAAGACCATTCCTGCCCTCAAGGAACTTATGTACTAATAATGGCAGAAGAGAATATAAAATAGGAAACTCAGAGTGGGGAGAGGGGAGAATTAAACACACATAGTGGAGAAAGAAGCTCAGAGTGTCAGGAGTGGGACCCAGAGAGAAATGAAGGGGTGACGGTGGCTGGACAGTGGGTCCTTCCTTCAAATGGAAGTTGCAGGAGGAAATGACCAATCAGAGGAAGGGGCTGAAGAAGGGGAGGGATTTTCCAGGATGAGTATGATGGAGAAAGAAGTCCAGAGAATTAGGTGTAGGAGAGGAAGGAAGGTTATTGAGTAGGAGAGCACGGAGGAGGGATTAGAGAGAAAGACCAGTTAGCAGGTGATTGAAACAGCCCGGAAGTTATTTTCTCTTAACCAAGGGTAGTGGCTGTGTGAGTTGAGAGGAGGGAACAGATGTGAGAAAGGAGGAATTAGGTCCAACCAGATTTGGCAGCTGATGGGATTCGTTGACGTGAGGTGAGCTCTAAATCTAGGATTGGATAATCTAGAGTTTGACAGGACCTTGGAGGCCATCCAATCCAACCCCCTCATTTTGTAGAGGTAGAAGTGAAAGTGGGATTTGAACCTAGGACATCTCACTTCAGATCCTGTGCTCTTTCCACTGTCTCTGGTTTCTTTTGTGCCTTCAGACTTCAAACCATTGCTGCTGCCCTAGGGAAACCTGGCCTATGTGGGCAGCTGGGCAGGTGACCTATTGGTAGGAAAAGAACAGGAGAGAAGAGAGAACTCAGAGCTCTAGTGATGACACCCAATGGGGGAGGGGAGGAAGACAACCAGCCAGAACACTGTACCCCGGTGATGCTGCTAGATGACACGTGGGGTACCTGGGTCTTCTTCTTCTTTTTTTTTTTTTTGTGAGGCAACAGGGGTTAAGTGACTTGGCCCAGGGTCACTAGTAAGTGTCAAGTGTCTGAGCCTGGATTTGAACTCAGGTCCTCCTGACTCCACAGCTGGTGCTCTATCCATTGCACCACCTAGCTGCCCCTTATCCTGGTCTTCTTTGTCTGTCTCTTCCTCTCTCTGTCTCTCTTACCTCTGTAAATACTGTTTTATTGATTCTCTTTTCTTGTTTTTATAATCTGTCACTTCCCCATGACTCCTGTCTACCCCCATGCTCCAGCAGAATTCTCCTTTAAATACCTTACCCCTTGGCCTGTTTTTCAGTCCTGCCAATGGTCCATGGAGGCCTACTGAACTTGAAGTCAATGGTAGAAACCATCACAGGGAGAAGTGCCATCCTCTCCTTTGTGGGCTATGGCTGCTACTGTGGGCTAGGAGGCAGGGGTCTGCCCATGGACGAAGTGGACTGGTAAGTTCCCTCTGCTCCCCAGGGTTCCAGCTCCGTCCTACTGGGCACGCTGAGCCAAGCTCTTGATTTTCTGTGGGTGTACTCAAGGCCTTTTCCAGGGTTCTGCACAGGGTAGACAGCAACTGTCTTGTCTGAATGCAACTCAGGCTCCTCGGTCATGTTGTTGACATTACGAATGGTCCTTGCCTGAACCCTGTGGCCCCTCTCTTGGCTTTATGTCAGGATGTAAGCCACATATTAAGGGAGAGGGATGAGGATCTGGGGATGGAAAGAGGGTGGGGAAAGAATGAAGAAGCTAAAGGAGTTTGAGACAAGGTGGCTAGAGGAAAACCCATTGAACTAGGAGGGAGGAGATATGGATTCAAGGCCTAGCTCTGAGATTGATTGATTAATTCAAACATTTATTAATGGCGCATTCTGTGCACAGGGCAGGTAGGTGGCCCAGGGGATGGAGTCAGAGAGACTCATCTTCGTGAGTTCAAATCTGACCTCAGACACTTCTTAGTTGTGTGATCCTGCGCAAGTCATTTAACCTCGTTTGCCTCAGTTTCCACATCTGTAAAACGAAGTGGAGAAGGAATTGATAAACCACTCCAGTGTCTTGGCCAAGAAAAACTCAAAAGGGGTCATGAAGGGCCAGATATGACTGAAAAATGACTAAACAAAATTCTGTGTGAAGTACCATACCGAGTGCTAAAGACAGGATTTGAATCCGGTCCTTCTTCCTTCTATGCTCAAGTACCATCAGAGGAAGGCAGAGTGGAGCGGTAGATTTGAACCTGGCTTCAGATCTCAGCTCTGTCACTTATTCGTGTGAACCAGGAACTCAGGCTGCTCTTCTTTGAAATGGGCAGAATAATCCCTACAGCACCTACTTCAGGGGGTCTCAGATGGAGAACCCCAGTGGACCTCCAAGGCCGTCAAGTCCAACCCCTCCCCCCCTTTTTTTTTTTGCTGAGGCAATTGGGGTTAAGTGACTTACCGAGGGTCACACAGCTAGTAAGTATTATGTGTCTGAGGGTAGATTTGAACTCAGGTCCTCCTGACTCCGAGGCCAGTACTCTATCCACTGTGCTACCTAGCTGCCCCTCAACCCCTCCCTTTTCCTCTAATCTCAATTTTTTGTTGTTTCGAAGGTGACAAAAGCCACCAACACAAGTGCACCAGCTGCACAAAAGAACAGGAGAAGAGGACAGAGACATTCTTTAGAGAATACAATCAATTGTTCTTCTGTTCTCTTTTAAGTGTCACAGTACCAATATTTCCTTTCTTTTCCTTCCCCCCCATGCCCATTTCTAGTCTCTTCCTCCCAAATCCTCCCCCCACCATTAAAACAAAAACCAAACAAAAACCTGTACCTTATAACCAAAAACAAACTACTACCAAGCCAAACAAATTGACACACTGGCCACATCTGAACTTGTACCTCGAATTCAGCTCCCAGAGGCCCCCACCTCTCTGTCCATGATGTCGAGCCATCATCCAGCATTGGTCTTTTCCAGAAAACTGAGGCTAAATGACTTGCCCAAGGTCTCACAGGTAGGAAGTATCAGGGGCAGGATTTGAATGCAAGTCTTCCGACTCCAGAGCCCCTGCTCCTTCCACTGTACTTGTGTGGCCTCCCATTGTTGCTTAATTACTTAAGTGACTTTGAATGTCACAGCCCTTCTTCGGGCCTCAGTTTCCTCATCCATGAAATGCGGCGCTTGAACTAGATGATGAAGGCCTCTTCCAGCTCTACAGCTAAGATTCCATGAAGCTAAACCAACCCTAGGGCAGCTAGGAGGCGCCATAATACACAGAGCACAGGGCCTGGCGTCTGGAAGAACTGAGTTCAAATTCAACTGCAGACGCTTACTAGCTGTGTGACCCTGAGCAAGTCACTTAACCCTATTTGCCTGTTTCTTCATCTGTAAAATAAGCTGCAGAAGGAAATGGCGAACTACTCCAGTATCTTTGCTAAGATGTGACCCTGATGGGATCGCAAAGAGTCGGACAGAACTGAAAAATGACTCAACGACAACCATCTTGATGTGGCCAAGGGAGAGGACTGGGGAAGGGGAGGTTCATGGAGGGTTCTGTGAATGAGGGTGACTTCCAGCTCTCGATCTACGAACTTAAGGGTAGGTAGGAGCTGAAGAGGTCTGGCTACAGTCCCTTTGTTCCTTTGTGCTCTTCCTTGCCTCCCAACCCCAGGTGCTGCCACGCCCATGACTGCTGCTACCAGAAGCTGTTTGACCAGGGGTGCCATCCCTTTCTTGATCTATACGAATTCTCCATTGACAACGAAACTCAGACGATCACCTGCAGTGAGTATGGCTTCCTCTGGAGGGCGGGCTTGGGGCAGCTACCCGCCACTGGCCTGATCCTTCAGGCTGGGAGCTGGTGAGCTGAGACTTCCCAGGCTCCGACAAAGCAGAATAATAATGATGACAGTGACGATGATGATCGCCAGCATTTATAGAGCCCTTCAAAGTCTACAAAGCGCTTTACAAATGTGATTTCATTTATTCCTCATAACAACCTGGAGAGGCAGATACTATTATTATCCTCGTTTCACAAATGAGGAAACCAAAGCAGACAAAGGTTAAGAGACTTGTCCAGGATCACACAACTATTAAAGGTCTGAGGTAGGATTCAAACCCCGGTCTTCCTGACTCCAAGTCCTGTACTGTACCCACTGTATTCACCTAACCCCTCCCCTATCCTATACTCAGCCCCAAGATTCCTTAGAGGTCAGTCTACAAGTCAATTCAACAAAGGCAAAGAGTTATTAAGGGCATGTTATGGTGAAGGAGAGGCATCATGGCTAGAGAAGAGAGGGCTAGCCTGGGAGTTAGGAAGAGCCAGGTTCTCATGGCTGTGTCAACTTGGATAAGTCACTTAACCTCTCAGGCCCTAGGTAACTCCCTGAAACTATAAATTATAGCGAGTTGCTGATCTGTATTAATGGAGAGATTCTCTATATAACTGTCTATCAAATGCCTATTATGAGCTTGAACTTTGTAAGGCTCTGGAGGTGCGAAGACAAAAAGAGCGCAGTTACTGCTGTCAAGGAGGGGTGGAAGAGGTGGGGGGAGATGCAAATAAGTCCTGGGTTCAAGCACCTGCTCTGTCACTTCCTGGTTGAGGAAACTCTTTCCCTGGGCCTCAGTTTCCTCTCATGTAAGATGAAGGATCTGTCTAGATAACCTTTATAATACCTCCAGTCTCTGACATCCTGGTTCTAAGACCCATCCCAGTTCTGTCATTCTGTGTTCTAAGGGCCCTCCTGGTTCTGACATTCTGGGTTCTAAGTGCCCTCCCAGCTCTGACATTCTGGGTTCTAAGGGACCTCCCAGCTCTTCTAAGGGCCCTCTCAGCTCTGACATTCTGGGTTCTAAGGGCCCTCTCAGCTCTGACATTCTGGGTTCTAAGGGACCTCCTAGCTCTGACCATCGAAGATTCTCAGGTTCCCTATGCACCCCCAGGTGCCAGCCCCAAGTCCATTGCCTTTCCCCCTACAGGTGAGAAGAACGAGACAGAGTGTGACAAGCAGACGTGTGAATGTGACAAGAATGTTGTCTTATGTCTCAACAACCAAACCTACCAAGAGGAGCACCGCAATTACCTTAATATTTACTGCAAGGGAAACACTCCGTCCTGCAGCATCTATGACCCTCTGCCGGTGGAGATTGAGTGTAGACACATCCCTAAGACGCCACCTCCACCTACCTAAGCTATGCTCCCTCCCCAGAGCCCCAGGGAGAAAGCTAGGCCTGGGGAGGGCTCCAATCCTCAATCCTGGGGCCTTCCTGTCATACTGGTCCTGGGTGTGTGAGTAGAGACAGAGCATGTTGGGGTAAAGTGGGCCCAGCAAGAGGTTTGAGAAGAAACTTAGGCACAGGGCCATCCTGGGGCACCTTTGTGCCAGGCCCCTGGGAAGTTTCTCCATGACACAGACCCTTGGGGCTCAAAGGCCACAGGACAAGTTCAAAGACAAATGGAACAGGTCAGACTCCTTCCTGGGCCTGTAAATCTTACATGGGTTCACTGGATCAGTCAGGGTCTCAGCTGCCATTTTTCTAGTCCCCACTCATGGTTCCTTGACATCCTCTGTCCTTGGGCCTCTGGGTCCTTGGCTGCTTCCAGGGGCTCTTGAGCACAGTACCTATTGGTACGGATCCTACCTTAGCTGCTCTGGATATCAGTCACCATCCCACTGACCTCTGGCCCTAGCTCACACAGTCTAGGCACACGCACCATCAGACTTCTTACCACCTGTTTTCTCATGGCCTTGTCCAAACACTCCTCCGGTCTTTCTCCTTTCCTCTGAACCCTGTTTCTCAGCAGCCTTACCCCAGCCCACTCTCACCCATACACTGATGTACCCATCAATGTACACGTGGACCCATCTAACCAGTGACATTCTCACCCTAACACTGATCTTCTTCCTTCCCTCCTGGCTCTGCTAACACAAGGACACATTGGAAAACGGTGGGTTTGTAGTGAGAGAACTTGGGTTTAAATCTCACCCCTTGCTGCTTACTACTGTGCTGCCTTGGAGAAATCAGTGAGCTTCTCTGGGCCACAGTTTTCTCATCTGTAAAATGAGAAAGGTGGACTTGATGACTTCCAAGGTCCCTTTGGTCTCTAAAGGTATGATCCTGTGGTCCAGTTTCCTCATCCGTAAAAGGAAGGGGTTAGACAAGATGGGACCTGAGGTCTCTTCCAGTGCGAGGTCCGTAATTCCTAGATATGTCCAACATGGGTTCACGTCACCTGCTTGGTGATACTCACCCACCTGTATATGTCTGCCCCACATACAAACACACTCAATGCCTCCCACATGCACAGACACTTCTTACTAATCAGTCTTTTAATCAATAAACACTAATAAGTGCCTCCTCCGTGTCCAATCCACCAGTAGGCACTCATTCTCACTGACACGCACACCCAATTATACATTGGTTCCTGACCACATACTATGCTGGCACTCACCCAATGTAGGCACAGGCATTCACTTAGACACACATATCACCATACAGATTCTCTCCCAGGTACATACATGTTGCTGCTTTCCCTAATAGCCAGGCACATTCACTGGGATCCACTCTCGGTGCCTGGAAACTCCAGACATGCATCCCAACTCACTCATATTGACATCCATCCTGGGGCCCCTGGCACTTTGGCCCCAAGTGCAAACACATGGACACATTTGCCTCTCCACTCCTTAGGAGACATAGGGTCAACCAGCACTTGGTGTCTTCTCCTGACCCCATTGGTGTAGCCAGACGATGCTCCTGATCCCAACAATGAGGTACTGGGATTGGAATGGACAGCAGTCCAGGATTTGGAAAGAGAAATTGGCAAGGTAACCCTGAGGTCTGTTCCTCTTCACTGACATCCCTCTTGGACCTCCCCCAGGAAGTCCCCACCAAGCAACCTGGGAGAAACCATGGAAACTGAGACTTCTTGAGTATGAGACTGGGTGCCGTGTGTGCGGTTCACATAGGCTTCATGGGGAAAGGAGGAGAGAGGAAGAAGGAGGAAAGAGGGTTGGGGGAAATGAGGAACATAGGGGAACAGAAAGAAGGGAAAGGGGCAGTGGGGAGAGATTGGGGTAGAAACAAGAGGAGGGATATGGAGAAGGGGAGGGGAGAGGAGAACAGAAAGAATGGGAAAAGGCAGTGTGGAGGGAAGGAAGATAAAAGAAAGAATGAGTTAATGGGGAGGGGAAGGAAAGAAAAAAAGGAAGGGGGCAATGGGGAGAAAGAGACAGAAAGGAGAGAAGGAAATAGTGGGGAGGGGGATAGGCAAACGCAGAGGGAGGGGAGCAGGTCTCCTGGAGCTTTGAGTTGAGGCAAATCAAGAATATGTAGGACCAGGGTGGTAAGAAGAAAGCTTGGGGTTCAGACCAGATCTCTGATTTTTTCTTGACCCTCATGCCAGCACTTACCATTTCTCCATATGACAGCCTCAGTCCTATGAAGCCTAGCTCTTCTGCCTCTTCTCTCTTAGTCTTGTAAGGCCAGGCCTGCCGTCTCTCTCGGGTGTCCAGCACAGGGCCTGAAGAAGGATCTGAAGAGGTCAATAGGCTCAGCCCCCTGCCTTCAGCCAGATGAAAATGCAAACCTTCCAGGACAGGTGTGGTTAGGGCTTCCCTGAGCAGTCAGAATGGCCTCAGGAGAAAGGCCAGCGGCTGCTCTTCCATCCCCCCCCCCCTTGGAGATGGTTAAATCTAGAAAATGGGATGAGCCAGGATGATTCCTCAACGGCAGAAGCCTCTGAGAAGGAAGCCATCTAAGCAGGAGGTCTGAGTTGGACCCTGAACAGAGAGATTCACCTTGAACTCTTTGGGAGAAGACAGACTTCACTCAAGCTCCAGCCCATGGACTGGTGATGTGGAACCAGAATGGGAGGGGACAGTAAGGGATTCTGGCCTCCCCGATTCTGGGGGCAGGCCCACAAAGACCAGACGGGCCAATGGCACGCTCTGTCTGGTTGAGATGATGAAGGACAGTTGTGGGCTGGTTTGGGTACAAACTCCACGGTTTTCTGGTCAGCCAGCCAAGAGGCTTCTAAGCATGGATGGCACGAGAAGCAGCCCCATCTCCTTCTTGAATGACCACACAGTAGGGGGCATGGGTGGGATTATTAGAAGGGGGAGGGTCGGGTCTGGGGGGTGGTCTGCAGTAGCAGCACTGCCTTCCTGATGGAGCTTATGTCATCCCTTTGCTCTCCAAGAACTGCCAGCACAAGAGTGAAGAACTGTCACCTGCTAGGCATCCTGAAGAGAAGGAATACGCCAAGCCCCACAAACAGCTTGCATTGGCGAGGAGACTGACTCAGGGGCCAGGAGTGCACTCCCAGGACGGCTTGTCTCTCCATTGGCCAGATGCCCAGTCACTCCCTGGACACCCGGCTGAGGATGCTGCTGAGCAGACGCTGGGAGAGGATGGGTGAGGAGATGCCAGTGGATAGGATCCCTGGCCATCTCTGAATCCCACCTTCCTCTTTTTTTCTCACCCCAATCTCTTCAGAGTCAGCCAGCATTTCTACCACATTCTCTCACATCACCCTCCCCACATCCCACCCCCACCCCCAATACAACCATTCTGTCCTTCAGCCTCACCAAGGCCTGATTGGCCTCTGTGGCACCTTCCTATCCTGATTGTCCCAGAATACAGTATATCAAGTGGCCACCTCCCTACCCATTAGTCTCTCTGTTAAGCCTAAGTTAGGCTGGGGTAGGGGGATAGTTCATTGGGAACAGGCAGTCTCTAGGGAAGGGGAAGGAGGGAAAGAGAGATGGGAAGGAGGAGCAAAGGAGGCAGAGGGGAGAGACAAAAGAAAGGGAAGGGGCAGCGGGGAGGGAGAGAGGAAGGGGAGGGACAATGAATGGGGAGGGACAGACAGAGGAAGATAGTAATGCTCATCATTATTTACCTAGGGTTTTAAGGCTTGCTAATGCTTTACAAATACCTCGTTTAGATGGTAGTGGAGAAAGAAGGAAGAATTTAAAGAAGGGAAGGGGACGATGAAAAGAAGATGTTCAGAAAAGGGAAAGGGATGGGGGGAAGGGGGGAGAAGGGAAGAGGTATGGAAATCAATTCAACACCTTTATAAAGTGCCTACTATGTATAAGGCACCGTGCTAGACTCCAGGGGTAAAGCGTGTTTGTGCCTGTGTAAGATAGACATGTGTGTCTACTGGGTAGTCTAAATGTGGCTCAGGGGAGGCATTGATAGACACAATCCGAGGTCTGGACCACCCTTGAGGAAATGAGGAAAATTGCCATGAAAGCTGAGAAGGAAGCTGAAGGCAAGCTTCCTGAGTACCACCAGGCTGGACCCCTTTAGGACAGCCTCCCAGGGTGCACCAGACTAGAATTACATCTATCTGGCCCCCTAAATTTTGCTTATCTAAGGTACAATGGCCTCAAAACAAATCACTTCCTTTATTGCTGTTAAAGCAGAAATTGACCTCAAGCTTGCATCTGGAGGCTTAACTCTTTCCCATAAAATGCTAGTGACACAAAAGACCCTTACAAACAATGAACAGTTCAACTCAATAAACAGTCATTAAGCACCTACTATGTGTCAGGCATTGTGTAAAAGGCTGAGGATATATAAAGAAGCTGAAGGAAGTCCCTGTCCTCATGGAGCTTACAATCTAATGGGGGAGACAACATGGAAACAAATATATACATAGCAAGTTATATCCAGGATAAATAAAAAATAATTGATAGGGGAAAGGAACTGGAATTAAGAGGAGTTGACTTCCCGTAGGATGTGGGATTTTATTTGGGACTTATAAGGAGCCAGAGAGGTCAGTAGTCAGAGTGGAGCAGAGCTGAGAGATGGAGGATCTTATTAGTGGAACAGCCAGGAGGCCAGTGTCACTGGATAGAAGAGTACGCTTTGGTTTTTCTTTTCTTCTTCTTCTTCTTTTTTTTTTTTTTGCTAGGCAATGGGTTAAGTGACTTGCCCAGGGTCACACAGCTAGTGAGTGTTATATGTCTGAGGTCGCATTTGAACTCAGGTCCTCCTGAATCTAGGGTTGGTGCTCTATCCACTGCGCCACCTAGCTGCCCCAAGAGTACACTTTGGGAGGAAGGGGCAAGAAGACTGGGAAGGTAAGAGGGGGCTGAGTTAGGAAGGGCTTTGAATGCCAAACAGAGCATTTCGTATTTGCTCCCAGAAACCACAGGGAGCCACTGGAGTTTACTGAGCACAGGTGTGACATGATCAGACCTGAGCTTTTG